CTTCCGACCCTCATCAAGCCTTCTTAAAGGCCTGCAATTAGATTGGTTTTATTTTCATTTCTTTAGCTTTCTAAGTTGATAAAAGCAATACTTTTGGCCATCCTGCAAGCTTTTCATCAGAGATTTTAATTTAGAAAAAGCCTCATTCAAATATGTTATGAAGCTTTTCAAATGGTTTGACTATCAAACAGGCAGATGAATGACAAAGTTGAAGGTAAATTAAAATGTTAATAGCAGCTGCATAATGTGCTCTTTTACAGTATCAGCAGACATTTTAGAGATCAAAGGCTGACTTTGTTCACATCTGTGTGCGGGCATGACTCATAATCTGCTAACTTAATTATAATTTAAGTTAAGTTTTTAGAGAAACAAGTTCACCTTGACCTCCAAACATGGCTCATGTAGCATATTTATTAGTTCCCTGGCTTTAATTTGGCTTTAAGTCTGTGAAGCCTGTTTTTTTTAAGTACAAGTGGTAAAAATTATGAAGTTTTTCATTGGTGGAACCACTGAAATGTGATGTCTTTGTTTACATTTACTCCATGGTATCTTTTGAGCTTCAAAGTCAGCAGCTCAGTTAAAAAAAAAATATTTTATTTCTTTATCACAAACTGAAGCTGAACAGTATTAGAAGAGGACAGAGCAAAGCTGATCAGAATAAAGAAACAATGAAAGAAATAAAGTGCTGAACAGATTACAGGGAGATTACCTCTATTGATCCTGATACTGTTTTCTTTCCTGAATAAACCCTGGCTGCATTTGCACAAAAAATGTACAAAGAATATATATTTAAAAATATCAGCAGCTTTCTCTTTCTAGAATTTATTCTCAATCATGAAAAACTAATGGCACTACTACTCAGTTTCTTTTAATATGCTGTCCATATTAATGTTTAAGTCGTGTCAAGTTGTCACTAGCATGAGCTTCTTGCACTACTGGTGGGTGCAGTGCTGTAGAAACAAAGCAGGGTTGAGTTAAAGAGAAGCGTTTTGTCTGTCAGGGTTATTTCTGTGTGGATCGATTCAAGGTTTCCTGACTGCAGGCCTTGGAGAACATATATAGACCACACACAGGCTAAGTCAGGATCACAGATTCACGTGTTTCATACTCTAGCTGCATATATTTCTATAATATCAGCCCAGAAACTTTCTCTTCTCCTTTCTGTTTCTCTTTATACACACACACACACACACACACACACACACACACACACACACACACACACACACACACACACACACAAGGATCCTGGTCAGCAATATGTTTCTCAGGCTGCCAGCCATGCTTGGAGGAAGTGTGATCGAGCTCATGAAACATTAATGAGATGATATCTTTAGAAACTCCCTCGCTCATCTCAGCAGAACCAAGACTCTGTCTCTTTCTTCCATCTTTCACCTCACTGTCACCCCTCCACCCTGCTTTCTTTTCTTCATTCAACCCCCTGGAGTCTGTGCCTTTATCCATCCCTTTTAAAATTTCCTTTGCAATTTATACTCGGAGCTTGGCTAAATGGAAATCAGTGTTTGTTTGAGCCCACATTGTGAGCCGAACAGTCGAGGGAGGCTATTACAAATTCCTTCCCTTCTTTGTAGGACTGAATGATTTGACCTGAAATCAGCATTACATAAACTGTCAGACTTAGCACAATAATGACAAATTTAATGCTGCTTATTTTTAATGCACTGGGATCTAAAATATTCATCCTCAGAACACCATCCACATATACACCAACAGAAACCTACCGCAGCTGGTATTTTTATCCTGAGTGAAAATTTTCCTCTGCCTGTTTCCAGTTTCTTTTCCCCACATTTGGTTGACTTTAATTTGATTTTGGAGCAGGGAAGCAAAGGAAAGGGATCTGTCTGGTTGGAATACCAGTAAATGTAATGTACTGCAGTGGCTTTGTCAGAGTGAATAGAAATGTGTGTTTGGGTTTCCTTGTGTGTGAGTATGTGTGACTACATCTTAAGAGGTGTTTCAATTTAGATCTACCAAACTGACAAGAGAGCAGCTGCCCTAACATGCTGATCTGTGTGTTTGTGTTTGCATCTGTGCGCATGTTGTGTACTCTTTGTGTTTGTCCGTAGTTTCAGCCTCTGGTTATCTTTCTGCTTATGAAAAGGCCTTTTCCGAAATGGGTCAGGTGTCAGAGGCCTTTTTAGTTCAGGTATTTTATTTATTTATTTGTTTATTTATTCATGTATTTGATCTGCAGTTGTACTCCCATGAAACTGTTTTCCTCTTTTGCAGTTACTCACTCCTCTCCTATCTCTACTTTATTTGCCACTTTTTTTATTTTGTTTTTTTGACTAATATTAGTCTTTAAAAATATGCATTTCACCTATTTTGGATTGCAAGTAAGAATCAGATTTATTTAAAATACTGTTTTAGCTTTTTTAAGATTGAAGAAAACATATTTCTCTGGGTGCAGCTTATGGTCTTATAACAGAGCTGTGAGCCTGAGGTGGCCACGTTAATCCCTCCCTATGACATCATACAGAGCTACAAGTAAAATAAACAGTTTGAAACGAAGCATTTAGAGTAGACTGATGCCATCAGTGACTTATTTAAAACTTTGGCCGTGACCACGGTAGGTCGATATTAGCTTGTTCTTTAGTTCGTGAGTTCTCTTGGGAGATCAATGAGTTTAAACAGCATGAAAGTCATTCACAGTACATGGCCTTATCATTTTGGTGACACATTCACCAAATGCCTAAATCTAATTACCATTAGATGAACTAAAATACTTTATAGTCAGTGTGACATTTAAATGTGCGCTGCCCATAGTCACATCAGGTTTTAATAACAGCATTTATGTAGAAAGTTGCGTGTCCTTTCCCTAATAGCCCACATTTACGTGGCAGAGTTTGTTCACTCTGAGGCGGATGCAGTGAAATGGATCCAAATCACGTCAATTACGCTATGACATGGAAAATAAAATCAAAGTGCCTTGTGAAATCAACTTGATGTATTCACAGGAAACCCTGTTGTTAGGGGCATTATGGAGAATTAGGCAGCAAGATACAATAGTGTAATTGCAGCATGCTTCATTACATTGTCACGTAAGTCAGCTCCCGTTGGGAGCTTTTTGACACCTGCGTACAGTAAAGTTTTAAAGTACTCGGCTGAAAAAGCTCAGGGCTGTGCTATTAAGTGGAAACTTATGCACTAAGTCACAGTGGTTTTCCAGATCAGAACAATAAAGCAGATGTTTGTAAGGAAAGTAGCTTATTCCCAGGCCGGTAATGGCAGGAATAATGGGAGAAAGATTACTTTCATCCAAAGTGCCAACACAAAATCTCTCTAGGTGCTCTTTGTGATGTTCCAGCTGGTTTTCAGCACTCACTGAATCTGGCTAAAATTAGATCGTCGGGGTCAGTAAATGTGCTGAGCGCCTCTGGATCAATTCTTTTGATTTACATGAGTAGACACTGAAAACTTTGATTGTAAATCTGGCTGCCTTGTCTGTGTTGTCTCCATAGCCTGTATATAAATGATGGATATGAGACTGTGATATGCACCTTTGGTTTGGTAAGTCTTGCTTTAAAGCCGTGATTTGAACATTGTTAACCATCTTTTTGTTTTGTTATATTTTAAACCCACATGTTCTTAGTGAGGAATGGCTCTGACTGGGGGATCAGAGCCAGGTTATGTTTTATAACCTAACTTTTAAACTAGCAATTGAGGTCATAAACTCCCCAGCAAAGTGTTTACTGAAGTCAAATGTCAAGTAAGTAGCGAACTCGGACTACTGCTGTTTTATGTACTCTCTGTGGTTATGTCAGATTCATTTCAGGGAACACTTGATTATCAGAGGATAACACAATTAAAGTTAAACTTCAGGAATATCAGTCAGTCCAGTTAGTTAGAAACCATTGTGAATCTATTTCACCTGTTTTGGTGCAAATGAAAGTGACAAATCCTGCAGTGGAGAGGCAACAAGACAACACAACAACAGGCCCAGTATGTGCTTCTTTGTGCAAGGATGAACAGAATAAGGGCATGATGTCCTTTAGTAGGATCTGTGCTCGCAGCCCAGAATCGTGCATCATGATTGGCTGGAACACCAGAACTGGGAGATCTGCCTCTGGTGCTTCAGTCTCAGAAGAGAGCAGGTCCACACTGAGCATGTGTGACAGACATGAAAGACTATACAGATGCCATGGTGAATGTTATGCTATTAGCACCATTATCATGTGGGTCAGTGATTGTATGGAAAGGCATATTTTGGGGGGATAGCACAGGCCTCCACATGCTAATCAGCAGTAGCTTGACTTCTGTTAGATACCAGGATGAAATGCCCTGGGTTCCTCCTGGTCCAACTGGATCCAACTGGGAACCTCTATGGCACCACCCGTGGACTGTGGAGTGGCTGCTTTAACTGTGTCTTTAATCACCTTTAATCTTGGCAGTTTGACATATACATTTTGGTTTGGTGATCGAACACTGGCATCAACAGCTGGTAGAAACACGTGGCTCACAAAGACGCAGATATGTTCTACACACAGTTTTATTTTAGCTCTTCCTGGAAGCTCTCGCTCTTTAGACCTTGGTGTCTGTATTGATTGCTCCACTCAGGAGGGCAGGTTGGGGAACAGAAAGTAGTAGTTTTCGCACCAGTAACACTTTCCTCTGATAGAAATGTCTCAGATTAATTGTAAACAGTAAAAGGGAGTAACTTCATGTGGAGGTGGTAGGATGTTGTTACCTTCAAAAGGAAACACACTTGCTGTTTTAACCAACTGCTGGCTCTAGCTGTATATCGACTATCCAGACATGAAAGTGGTATTGATCTTCAAAACTGCCAGTGAGTGAAAAAGCCCTTTGCCCAAAATGTCAAACACTTTTTAAAATATTCACAATCTAAAGCTTTTCCTTTTGCTTTCTGTGGAGTTGTTGTGATTGGACCGAGAATTAAACCTTAAATCTGAGGAGTTTCGTTAGAGGTTGCGGTCAGAGATAAACATGGCTGTGTCTGTGTGTTTGTATGTGTGTGTCAGACTTTTGTCAGGTGGAGCTGCGTCTGTTGGCTCACCTGTCCTCTGACCCTGAGCTGCTTCGCATTTTTACCAACCCGCAGGCCGACGTCTTTACCATGCTGGCCTCTCAGTGGTGGGTCTCCATCAGTCACACACACTCACACACACTCAGGTTCTCCCTTGATCGACTTGCCAAGGTGAGTTTTGGTCCTATACAGGGTTTCTCCTTCCCTCTCTGCCTCCCAATCTCCCTTGTTTCACTTCACATCCTAATAGTCTGGTTGCCATGACTACCATGCCAACGGCCTTTTTCTGTCTCTCTTCACTGGGCAGGACACCCGGGGCTGGTCATCCTGCTGATTACATTGTTGGGCTTTTGAAGTTTGTGTGTGTGAGTGTGTATTCTTACCCCTCTCTGTGAGTGTGTGTCTGTGTTGGTGCAGGTCTGTGCTGTCTCTTTGATGATGTGCATATGGTGTGTGTCATACCTACACTCCTGTCATCCATCTCAGACAGGTGTGTGTCAGAGGGCGCCGGTTAAACAGATTACCATATTAACAGCTCCACTGAGGCTTTGCAGTGTGTCTCTTTCATTATCTCTCTTTCACCTTTAAACAAATTAACTGGAGTCACCGCAGCACCGCTGGGATTACGCCACCTCGGTGTCTTTCTCTTATAGACCTCTTCCTCTTTCTATCGCATCATTAGTCTTCTGCTCATCCAGTTGTCCCTCAGCTTTTGCTGTGGTGTGTATGTATGTCTCTGGCCCCTGTTGTTGTTATGCTCTTTTCTTTTCTGTCACTCATTTTTACTTATATTTGGTCAACTTTCACCCTCGCCTCAGCCATCATTCAGCTAAAGCACAGTAATGTTCCTCTGCTTTCTCTGATTAGAGATAGCTGTTACTGGACTTTTATTTTTTGTTTTTGTCATATTACAAAAGTAATTGATTGAGTATCATGTGGACTTCTTCTTTAAGAGGACAACTTGCTGCTCTGCTTGTTATTTAGCCTTGCAACGAATTAAAGGCACTTATTTTTGCAGTTTTTTTTACTCAGTGCATTGATGCCACTCCAGCAGGGGGCAATGAAAATCCAGAATAGCTTTTTCTTCAGCCAGATGTCATTGGAGGATAATGCTCACTTTTGGACCTCATAGGTTGCCCCCATTTACCCCCACATGTCATTTAACAGATACATATCTGTGCATGTGTGTGTGTGTGCCACAGAGAGAAAACAGCAGAGAGGTATTTTAGTGTACTGTACTGTCATCATATCTAAGAAGTCACATGTCATTATGCAAGGCTGGCGCTGAAGCTCACCAGACTTGTAGTGTGGGTATGTGTGGGGCACTCCCTCAACACTGATCAGCTGTGGCAGCTCCCTGTCAGCCCCTCCAGAAATGCCACTTTGCAGACGTGTCATCCCACCCAGTCTGATCCCCAGTACTACGGCTGTCTGGAAGTCACATTACATAACTGTCTGTCTTCCCCTCTCCTGCAGCCTCTGTTCTTTTCTGTATTTATGCGGCTTTAACGTCTACATCTCACACTGCGCTTCTCTTTCTTGTTCTTATAATCTGTTGCCTGATGGGCTTTTTCTCGCTTTTATCTTTGCCCTTACTCTTTCTGTCTTTTTACTTTCTCTGCCGAGTGTCACTTTGGCCATTTCTTTAAAATTGCTGCCAATAACACCTCAATCAGCTTGAACAATATTTAATCTCTGATTGGTGACAGAAATCTTACCCCACATCCCTCGTTAGTCGTAGCCATCTTTTCATTTGTAAATGTTTAATACTTGTCAGCCAAAGACTTCATTTTCTTACTTGTCTTTAAAACAAAAAGTCTTATTTTATTGCAACATCAGTTTTTCTTTAAAAGCAAGTATCACTTCGGTGTTTTCAGTCGACTTTAAATCATAACTCTTCACTTCCACAGCAGTGAAAATGGATAAAATATTAGTGAAATTTCTATCACTAATGGAATAATGCATCTCTCGCTCTCTCTGAATCTGTCTCTCAGGAAGGGGTTGAGTGAGAAAGAGGTGACATCTGAGGACAGAGAGCATGCCAAACGCGTTGTGTACTCTGTTGTTTATGGAGCAGGTGAGTACAAACACACCTCACAGAAAAGTGGTTTTGTCAATGAATAGGACAAATGATGAGTATGTTTCCAAATGAAAGCATAACAGGTTTAAGTGTCGTTGGTTTTGAAATGCAAGCAGTTCATAGTTTAAAGAGGGTAAATGAATCAGCATTATAGATAATTTAGAGTGCTGTGCAGCACTTAAGTGAAAGAAAAACAGCAAGAAGAGTCTGCAGTTTTATTCTGTGCGGATCAACTTTGTTTTTTGAAGCCAGCTTTAAGCGGCACATGGAGGAACTGCAGTTTTTGTTATTTCTACGTTGTCTTTGTTTTCCACCTCTGAAGGTTGCTCCTTGGTGTTTACTCAGAAATGTCCAGCGATTTCTGCTGGGACATACTGTAGCTGTTTTCCTGTTCCTTTTATGTACTGAATCACAGTCCTGAATCAAGGGATGGGCGATGGAGGGATAGAGAAATATAAAAATAGACAGAAGAGAGCTGAAAGGAAGATAAATACATAAAACAGCCATGTGGCCCTTAAAGAGACTTGTTTGTGTGACTGGTGACCCATTTATGGTTCACACACAGGTGCATTTTCTTATGAACTTGGACACACGTGACCACAGATCAGTGTCACAGGAGCTTGCTTGTTTGATTCTGGTGTCTGAAATATCTGCTGTTTGTATGCTTGTCATCAGGATTACACATAAACGTCTGAGCCATGAGTGTCATGAAGCTGTTGGAGAGGTGGAGCATGGACAAAGAAAGAATTGATTCTGTTTTGTTGTAGATCCAGATGACTTGGTAGAGAATATGCTCCACTGGCGTGTTTCTCTATCTGTGGATCAAGAATATTATAGATTTAACTGAAGCTACATAACCAAAAGTAGGACATGAAAAAATGCACTTAATAAAACAATATAATTGACTTTAGGACAAAGCAAAAATAAATAAGTAATAATATTACTTTCAACATTGAGTAAAATAAAGTTAAACTATTTAATCTTGTTGTCACCATAACCACCTCGAGGTTGCATTGGTCTGCAAGCCACTTTGCAACCCACCCCAGCCCCTCCCATCATTCTTTTTAGTTAAAGTCTGTCATTAATGTTGCGTGCGCTGTTCTGTACAGTGGTCTTGCTGCTGCTCTGTCTGTCTCCAGTATTCTGTGTTTGCACATGGAAAGATGATCATGTCTCACCAAACATGAAGCATGTAGTTGGAAATAACGATCTTCTTCTGACTATACTGGACCTAACCGAACTACTGCTCCTGTGGATTTGTTAGACAATATCACGACAATGATCTGAAACACAGAATCTGCATTTAAGATTCATGCTTTGGACTTAATATGCTTCATTAAAAAACACTCTCAATCTGATGGTTTATTGTTCTGTGGCATTTCAGTCTGAGCTGGACTCACAGCTCAAACACAGTCACTCTCAGACACGCGATACTAAATGAATCATTTTTTGTAAACTCAATAAACCCTTAACAATAACAACAATGAGAAGCACATATCAAAGCTACTCATGTGAGACATGCGTGCGGGGCAAAACATGCACGGACAAATCGCACAGGAAAAGGTTAAAGAAAAAATGCAGAGTCAGTATTAAGTGTTTGAAAGAGGGCAACAACGTGAGAGCGGGTAGTCAGATGAACAAAATATACAGTAAAGGGGAAAATGTGGCGATTTGTGCAGAGGGTAATGTAGGGGAAATGCACTGGCAAAGAGCAGGCGGGGCCTAGAGGGAAACAAGAAGAGGAATGTAAGGAGCCGCTGATCCACGCAGACAGACGGCTCTTCATGGAGGGATGTGTTGCTATGGTTACAGAATACTAAAAGAATCCTGCTCAACAAGACAATAATCGGGTCAGGGAGGAGGGGCACAGCCGTACACATACATACATAGAGTGGGGCCACAAATAAGAAGGCCACGCAATGATGCTGACAGACAAAAGGTAGGATAGACTATAGACTGTACTAGGGCTGGGCGATATATCGAGTTTTTTAAAAATATCGATATATTTTCATACGAGATATAAGATGTGACAATATCGTTTATATCGATATAGTCTATGTTACGTTATAATTATACTTGTGGGGCCGCAGGTTTGCCTCTCTTTCGTCCACTTTTGTCTCTACGC